AGGGGGAGTGTCAATCGAAGGGAAGTGGATCTGTAAGTCAGCTTTCGATTTTCATCATGTTGGAGGCCCAAACAGCTCATAACAGGCTGGCAGTAACGCATGAAAATAGATTGGCACATGATTGAATCAAATATAGCAAGTCTTTATGAAGAAATCAAATTAAATCTCTTCATCATAATGGACCAAGATTTGATACACAAATGTTGACCTAAATTCCTTGTCTATATAAACCTCATGCTCATAAACAAAAAAAACACACACGAAACTCTGCAGACAAAGAAAAACGCTCAAAAACTCTGCAGAAACGGCGCCACAACTTTGAGAAAAAAGCTTGAGAACCTTGGATCTAAAATTGCACTCAGAGACCTTTTCAGGATCAAACAAAGGTTCCAATCGCTTCCTTGGACCTCACTGAAGCAGTACCAATCATTCTCGTGTGCTCTCCTGCCCCAAAAAGCCCTGTAAGTATCGCTCTGAACCGCCATACTTATGGAATCGTAAAGCTTCAATCTTGCATTCTTTCATTGAAATAATTGCATATTTATACTCTATGCTGTATTCTGAGACTTTTGGCATCATTGAATTTTATTTTCATAGCCTGTAACGCCATGCCCAGTTCTAGGGTTCGTGTACCTCGTTTTTGGGGTTTTTAATTGCAGGCAAAATCAATGCAAATAATGGCCATGGATGAGTTCAGGGGAGAGAGACGAGTGCATAGGCACTCTTAGCTTGCGTTTATATGGCCAAGGGAGGATTTTGGAGAGATCCTAGGAACCTTCCTGCGGATAAAAATCCGCAGGTAAACAAACCAGGTCTTGTGAAGAAGACGATTACGTGGTGGAGCGTGATTGGTTCATTTGAATCAATTGCGCATTTTTATTTTTGGCCAGGCATAATTGAATTGTTTCCATATAATATTTAGCTTCTATTCCACTAACAGGTTAACCTCATGGCTCAGTTGGTAGCGCATCAGTCGAATTGTCCAATGGGACCTGGGTTCGAATCCCATGTCCCCCAAAACTTTAAAATATTTTATTTTCAGGTAATCCCACGCAACGTGCAAGAACATGGTCCACCATATGCCTCAGGCGCCCATGCGCCAGGTGGTTCCAGATCCAGATCAAGTGGTCCAGGATGAGGTTCACCATGAACCTTGGTCAACAAACGTCCAGGCAATCTGAAAGTCAAACGAGGCTGTTCGAATCTGGGCCTGGAATTGCTGAATCAACCTCCCTTCTTCAGGCCCAACGCCCCCCAAAGTTTGCTTATGTTTTTATTTTCTTTTCATATTTCTTTGGATTTTTATTATTATTACTAAAAACTAACTAATTAATTAACAAACTAACCTTTTTTTCATAGAAAAACCAGAAATCAAAAATATTATTTTCATCATTAATTTCATTATTTTTGTAAATAAACCATTAACCAATTAATTTAGTTTTTTTAATTAGGTTTAATCTTAACATTTTTACAATAAATTAAAATTAACTTAGAATTAGGTTTTTTTTTTACCTTTCTAATTTTATTTCCTTAATTAAAATAAAACTCAAAAAATATTTTCTTTAATTCCATTATTAATTTAGACTTAATTCTTAAATAAAAAAAGACCAAAAATATGCTTTATTCAATAAAAGGGTCAAAACCCTAAAGGACATTCCGATTCAATTTTCTCGCGCGTATTATTTTTTATCTATATTTGTGTAATTGCTTCGAGGATGTAATAGTTTTAACTTAGGACTTTATTTACCGCTTTTATTTATTTTTCCGCATTTAATTTCAAGGGTTTGTTTTTGGCGATGTAAATACCCAACGCCTTGTAATAGCTTAGCTTTATTTTCCGCAATTTATTTTCCGCAACCATTAACTGCTAGATGTATGAATAATAGGCTATGCATGACAAGATCTATCTTAACTTAAAATCAACAGTAGCTCACCATGACATGTAAAGATAATATAACTGAAAATTGACACACTTGCACGTGCCACTCCTAGGGTACGCCTCACTTGGTTGCCTCGAACGTGGTCATTGAGTATAGGAAGTTTTAGAGGTTGTCCTCTTGTCCAAAGATCATAAGTTGCCTCGAAACGGTTGCCTCGGATAAAATGATCTAAGACATTAGGGTTACCGCTAAGGCGTCCTAATGTTGCTTTAGTGACCACATATCCCTTAATCGAATTGACCCGAAAAACTCCAACGACGATGCTACCTACTCCTCAATAGTGGGATATCACTGTCTAAAGGACATTTGCACAGTTTAATTCCTTTTTGAGTAGGTAGAGGTTCTTAAGTACTTGCTCCTTTTAAAACAAAACAAAACTTTTCGCACTTACACTCTCTTCAAAAACAAAACTTTTTTCAAAACCCACAATCACAAAGAAAAGCAAACTTTTGAAAACATAGTGAGCAAGTACCTAAGAGCCCGTGGATAACCACAGATAGAAAGGGTGCTAACACCTTCCCTTTCTATAATCTACCTCCCGAACCCGAGAAACATCTCGAAAAGGAATTTTTTGTGCTTTTGTCCTTTCCTTGTTGGATAAAATAAAAGATGGTGTCGACTCTTGCTTACCGCGACATTTTGCAAAAACAAACGCAAACGCGAACCAGCATTCCAAAAACAGTCAGTTCTATTCCCACCGATCACAGCCACCTCTATGGTGAATGCCATGGTGGTCACCTTGAATAGAAACGACTCCATTTCTTTCGTTTTTTCGTATGTATTGCTCTGTTCTTCGCATGTGACTCCTAAATGGTAAAATACCTTAAACATACACAAATACCAGCATAAAGGTGGAAATGTAAGGCAAAATGACAATAAAATATGCACAAATCGAGTCAAATAAATGGTGTAATTTGGTGTCATAAATATCCCCCACTCTTGAACTATTGCTTGTCCTCAAGAAAAATGAAAGTAAACAGTGACACTAAATAGCTACTTTGGGCTTGAAGATTTTTCTTCGGACAAAATTATTTTAATAGGAACTAAATCACAAAAACCAAGAGCATCATAATAACACATTCCACATTTTTGTGGGTATAAGTCTCTCTCCTATACAGACCAATCCAAATCGTGTCAATATGCTTAAGCCTAACTTAATCATCCAATTTTACACCATTTTTCATGCAGGCACAATCACATTAGTCCTGTTATTCGTACATACTCATGGCAAGGCGACTGGTTAGTGATTTTGATCATTTTGCATGGGGTTGTGGTACTTTAAGTGGTGTGACCCCTTTTCTTACCCTATTGTAGTTGCGGGGGATCGAACTGTAATTCACCATACCAAGTTTAGCTCGAAGTCGCCGTCTGGGATTGGTTGTGCGTGACTCGATAGTTCGTCGCGATCTGTAGAGGGGGTCGAACCTTCACCTTCGACCATGGGCTCTTTTCCCTTCCTTCTTTGCTCGACACGATCTTCCTTGGAGAAGTGGATGTCGAGGTCAATAGTGTCGATCCTCAACAATGGCTTGACTTCCTCGGAGCTGGAAGGAAGTATGGCTCCGATGGTCGTTCGAGGTTGAACGTTGATGGAACTGAGGCCCTTGGATGAAGCTTCAAAACACCTTCTTGCTGCTTGGATGTCCCCATGGAGGGTGGCGACCAAGCCTTCAGCGGTGTAGTACTTCATTTTGAAATGCAAGGTGGAGGGAACCACGATGAGTTCGGTGAGACTGGGTCTCTCGAAGATGCACTGGTAGAGATACGGGCTATCTACCATCAGGAATTGGATCTTGATGGCTCTGGTTGTTACCCCTCTACTGAAGGTAACGATCAACTCGACATATGCCTAGGTTTTTGTGTTGGCTCCATTGAAGCCCTGGAGATCTGATCCTACGTACGAGGTCATATGGCTTTCATTCAGCTTAAAGATGGTGAACAGTTGGCCCCCATCCTTTGCTTTTGTTGTAGAACGAGGGTGTTGGTCTGATTGATGGTAGCGAGCAACGCTGCAATGGCCGGGTCTGCACTGAGAGGGATGAGATCTGGCTGTAAGATTTCTGGTGGTTCCTCGGCGAGATTCTTGGGATGTCTATCGTCCAAGAAATGGTTGTTGTTGCATCGGGCGTCAGTTGAATCTGGAGACGCAGTATGTCCATCTCGGAAACCCAGGTTGTCCTCGAGGTGAGAATGTTCCTGACTTCCGTCAGTTTTGTGAGCAGGGGAAAGGATAGCCTTTTCGAGAAGATGGAAATCATCATGATCGACCATGATTTATGAAAGGAATCTTGAAAAGTTGCTTTGATCTTTGAGTTTCTAGGAAAGAAAGATAGGGAGAGCAGTTTTCTACAGTCGGCGCTACTGATCTTACTGGTTGATCAGAACCTGCAGAGTGACCGAATGATAATTTGTAGTCGGGCTGTGACGTCGAGGAGGAAAAAAAGGGGTTGTACCTACAAGGCACTCCGAAGATCAAGTAAGAGTGGGAACGAGGAGATACAAGCAAAGTGTTAAGGTATTGGTGGTGAATAGTGAATATTCGATACCTGGCCCTCATAGGTGTTAGGGTTTATATCATTCCCCTAGCGCATGGATATTGGTTCCTGTTTTTATGCTTGGATATGCGGGCCCGTAAAAACAGGTAACTGCCAGGACTTGGTCAAACCGGGAAAATGTGCCTGTAACTAGTCGTTTGTTCCAAGGAGGAGGCAAGTTACTGGTATCTCTCTGGTCGGTTCCTAGTTGTCTGCACGACTTGATTTCAGGCAAACAAAGAGGAGCTCGTCGATCATCCTAGGCCAGTGCCGACTTGGGACGGCAAAGGGTCGGTATTGCCCGGCAGAGAGCGGGACGGTTCGGGTCATGGACGTGCGGGCTGTAGCGAAAGAAAGGATCAGGCTGGGCCCATTCTAGCTGTCAGGCTAGCCCAGAACAATATATATATATATATATATATATATATATATATATATATATATATATATATATATATATATATATATATATATATATATATATATATATATAACTCTCCTCTCTATTTTGAGATCATACAAATCATTTGCTAAATTTCACTCTCAAAAGCATAGCAAACTCTCTCTACTCTCATCAAGAACAAAGAGAATAAAAATCCAAAACTCCTTCTTCCCCCTCTCTCTCAACCACTGTGCCACCTCACTCCGGCATCCAGCAACCTGCGGTGTTGCCTCCTGCTCCACCGACGAACCCCCGGTCTCCCTCCATCATGCAACCGATGCGCATGCTCCCTCTATTCTGCTGCTGTTTTTTCGCGGCGATTCCCTCTGTCTCTCCGCCATTTTTCGCGGCGTAACTCCCTCTGGCACCATGCAAATTTCCAGCATCTCTTCCTCTTCTCTGATTCTGGTAAGTCTTGAACCTTTAATTGATTAATTGGTCATGATTAGTTGATTTTGTTAAGATTATTGCTTAATTGAATTGAATAAATTGAATTGAATTGTTGAGATTGTTTCATGAGTTAATTGAATTGTGAAGTGTAAATTGATTAATTCTTTAATTGTTAATGATGTTGAAGTGTGAAGTTGGTAGAATAACATTTAATTCGACATAGATCTAGGCTTTAATCGGTAAATTGATTTTGATGTATTTATGTCGAATAATGTGGATTAATGTCGAATTGTGTTGAATTGAGGAATTGTGATGAGAATTAAGTTCAATTTTATGAGTTAATGCGTTTTTACATCGATTTCTTAATGAATCTATTTTTTTTATATTGAAAACCTCAAATCGGTTAAAATTGCATTAACACTTGAATATCGATTTGTGCTTGGAATTAAGACATCCGTTATGATTTCTTTGTTTGTAACTCGTTTACGATTCTTAAGTGATAATACTTGAATCAAAAAGTGTGTTTTCGTATCCGTTTGTAATTCTTGAAATAGATTTCGTTCAACATTGGTTTAAGCGTATATTGTTGCCCGAAGTATGTAAACAAGGTGCAAACCGCTCTTAAAATTTGTTTGAGGTTTATTTGATCATATTCGGACCTTTGTGGATGTTTAATTTTGAGAATTATCATTTCCGATGTGTTTTTACGGTCAAATATGTGAGACGGTGTAGTGTTGTCCGGTTCATGAAAATGCACTTGATTTGAGTTTTAACTTGTGCGCAATGAATACTTGGCTTTAGTTTGATAATTGAGGAGCATTGATATCGATTTCGGTTAATTTTAAAATGACTTTTGGTGCATTTTGCGAATTATAACAAGGCTGTTTGGAAGGAGTAAGTTGGTGCAAATGCATGGTTTAATTGATGTTAATTTCTTAGGTGAGTTTACCTTGATGATTGATGAGCATTGGTACCATTTTTGGTAGATTTCATTCCAATTTTTCGTGCACTTTGTGAAACATAGCAATGCTGCTCGGATACTCGATTGAAAAGCAATTTAGTCCACTTTCGATGTGGTTTGAGCCTGCGTCTGATACATTTGGCTATTGCTCTCATTCCATGAGATTGAATATTCCATAGTATTTTTGTTATCACTTGTCTGGATCAATATCTTATGCAGGTTTGATGATTGATATTCAGACGTGTACGATACACATTCCGTATTATATTGTTATCGCTTGTCTGGATCAATATCTTGTGCAGATGTACTGATTGATATTTGCATGTGTTTGATACACATTATGTATTATGATTTATTTTCATATCATTGCTTTGATGCATATTCCGTGCACCAGATTTTTGATCATTTTGTTGTTGATGCTAGTTACTCGCGAAGTTCTCGGGTTTCTTTTACTGCTGCTTAGCATATACAGATTGTTATCCAGTTGGTATATTTCTTGTCTATTTTCTTTCCGCATTCTTTACCAATTTTATGATGACATGAGAAGTAGGAATAAAGATGCATGATTATTTACCACTTTTCTGATGCCATGAAAAGTAGGACTAGAGATGTATGTTATGGGAGTCCCTACTTTAGGTGGGCAATGTTGTTTTAAAAGATATTTAGAAGGCAATTCCTATGCGCGCTTGTTTGTTTATAATTCGATATGCTTATATTTGTGCCAAAGACCTCGATGAAGGCGTCTCATTCCCATTCCCCATTGATAAGTCCTCAAAGAAGGCAAGTGGAAAATGGTCCGCAATCGACCCTCACAATTTCTAGTCCCCAGGTCATTCGTAGCTCACATTTTAAGTCAATGATATCGAAGTGTGTTGCTCTTGTATCGAGTCGATCAAGTGGAGGAGGGTTTGTAATCGGCCCCTACGTTTTGTCTCAAGCTCGCGTTGGTTAACGTTTAATGCTTCTTAGTGATCTCATTATTGTCTTCTATCTCCTACCTCGATCCTTGATATCTTGGTTAGGTGTATAGTCGCTTATGACAATTCATTTTTTGTTATTCTCTTTCCTCGATTATTTGATATCTTGGTTAAGAGTCGATTCCCCTCTCTTTACTTCTTGCCTCAGTGATACAATACCTCAGTTAAGATTTGCTTTCATTACCCCTTCTTGCCTAGATGATGAGATATATATGGTCAGGAACTTCCTCCATCCACCTTGATGATGCGATATCCTGGTTAGGTGTCTCATTCCCCTATCTTGCCTTGGTGAGTTGATATCACGACTAGGTGTTATTCTCTCTCCTTTATCCTATATTGATGACACATTGTCATGGTTAGGCGGATACTACTTGAGCGAGTGGATACTCCTTAAGCATTGTGTGCTTGCATTCTTGGCTTGGTTAAATTCTTGATTGATATGTGTTTCTCTATACTGTTTTATCACATGTTCCCCATATGATTCTTAGTTATTTCTTGGTTAAGATCAAACTAAGTAGATCCTATGACAGTTATCCATGCATACTAACATTAGGTAGATGTTTCCCTTCTGTTAATCCCGACTCTAGGACCATCATTGTATGATAACATTAGAATAGAACTAGGTTAGTCTCCCTTAGATTTTTCTTCCCCTTTTGCATGTTTGCATTAAAAGTAAAACCTTTTTTTTTCAAATTATAAAACATCTAATAATGGAAGATGTGAATCGTATGTAGTTGAGTCCTATGGGGTGAAGTGAACCAGTTTAGACTGACACTTGCTTTATTTCATGTCTAGGCTTTATTACGGTTCAAATTGCAAATCCTTTTTCAAGGTAAAAAACACTAACTAATTCAAACCTCTTTTCGCCTTCGGTATTTTCATCAAAATTCTCAAAAGGATGTGTTAATTCCGTTTCACGCAATACGACACGTAATCCCCCAATCGTCAGGTTGCACTATGTCTACTTGCTGGAGTTGCAAATGTAGCATTATCGCCTTCGGGCGTTTTTTCTTTTGAAAATACCTTTGGGTAAGAGCGTGTTAGTTCCTTTCAGCTATAGATGCGTGAGTCTCCAAAGGTCGAGCAGCGATAGAATGCAAAACTTAACACCGTTCAATTAAAAAACACAAAACAAATGAAAAAATATGATCCAAACTACAACGCTCTGATTCCTTAAAAGGGATACGTAGGCACTTGGTCGCGGGACCTAATCGGGCACAACTTTGTAAAATTTTCCTTCTTTTCCACATGTTTTCTTTTGCATGCATTCCCTTTAGCTTTAAACCATAGACATAGATTTGACACACTCTTTAGATTAGATAACAAGAGTAGATCCCGTGGAGTACCACAAATGTGAGGGATGCTAATACCTTCCTCTCGCGTAATCGACTTCCTTACCTGTATCTCTCGGTCGTTTGATCGTGATTTCACCCCCTCAGATTTACTCGATGTTCATATTTCCTCTCTGCGGGATAAAAAACGTTCGATAATGACTTCATTGATTTCTGATGATTTCAGCCCGTGATTTCACCGTCTACCTGAACCAACCATATTTATTCATATAATTTATATCATCATTTTTATGAAAACTAATATAAGATATTCAACTTAAGAATACAAAATGAAATGTCATTCGTGACATTCACAATCTATATGGAGAAATGAAAAAAAAATTAAGAATTTTATATTATTATGGAAAATTAGTTGATATAAATTAGATATTTATTTAAAATATTTTTACACATTTGTTTCTAATATCCGATCAATCTAAACCAAATCAACTCGTTATTTATTGGTTTGGTTCGACTTGAATTTTATCGGAAAAAAAAAATACAAATTCAATTCAAATTAATCCATATATTTTTTATTAATTTGGATATCAGATTCTCTCAAAACCGAACCAACCGGTCCGCGAACACCCTTACTTTTAAATTAAGGATGTAATATAGAGACCAATTATTTAAAATGTCTAAATTAAAAAACCAAAAATACATTTAAGCTAAAATATAAATTCGAGGATTAAATTACAATTAAACTCAAAATTAACTTATGTAAAGTTTTTAAATAAGTACTTATCATAATTAGCCTTTGTGGTTCAGTAAATAAGTTGCTTATTTAAAAACGACTATTTTGTATGCATCAAGACAAAAATGACATTAGTGAGTTTATGCTCAACTCTCCATTCAAATATTACAACTCGAATTTGCAAGTTTTCCTCAAAATAGTTGGTGGGATTTGAAAAATGAGCGGATTGATCAAATTATTTTATCTGAGGATTGCATTAAATGTATTGGATGGCCTTATGATGATGATAGGTGCTATTTGTATTGATACATCATTGTTGATTCGCTACTTTAGTTTTCTATTATTATTATTATTATTATTATTATTATTATTATTATTATTATTATTATTATTATTATTATTATTATTATTATTATTATTATTATTATTATTATTATTATTAAAGTAAGGTAACGTTAACATGTGTTTTTCAATAATGTTAAATGTATTATTATTTCTGTTTTAAAATAAATATTGTTTTTTAAAAAATAAATTTAAAATAAGTATTATTTTTATTTTTCAATATAATAATAATTGTTATTGTGTCTTTTAATTATTAGTCTATACTATTTTATACTATACATTAATAAGTAATTTAATAAAAATATAATATTTTATGATAATATTATTATATTTTTTAATCTGTGTACAAAATTTTAAATAATATTTATTTTAAAACCGAGAGAATAATATATATATATTTTTTAAATTGGGTATTGAATTTATTAAAATTAAAAATTTTATTTTATTAATTTTTTTTAAATACAAACTTTCTATTTTTAAATTTATTAATTGGTGGTTATAGATCACCTTGCGGTTTGTTAGCCATTTTTTATTGTAGATCAATCTTATTCAATTTACAAAGTTTAAACTTGGCACATTAGTTCAGCACCACTTACCTAATGCTGTGAGATTTTCAAATTTTTAATAGGAATGTGGTTTAATTAGGGATGGCAAAAAGTGTGGGCATGCTTGTAAATAGTAGATTAAGATTTTAAACTTCTCATCTTTAAATATGTTCGTTATATATATATATATATATA